TACCCTTGCCAGAATACTTCACAGCGGTCATCAGATCGAAGGTGGGGTGGCACTCTGCCAGGCAAACGGTAGTGCTAAGAGCATCCAAGCTGAGGGCCGAGGAGGCGCTTGGGTTGGGGATGATTGACTCGGTGCATGCTAATGCAGAGGAGACCATGAAGGCAGCAGTTCTTTTGGCGGAGTCGCTGTCGAAGAGGAAGTGGAATGGCATGTTATATGCTGAGACGAGGAAAGCGTTGCTTTCTGAGGTTTGCAGTGCCTTGGGGTTAACTCATAATGATAGACCTGGGGTGCCATCACGACTTTGAATATATTTGCTTCAAAATGATATAATGTCAGATGCTTCACCCCACTGTGGTGTCACTGTGTAAGAACTTTAAGAAATATAGTATGATAATGATATTAATGATAATAACGCTAATATTAATGAATAATAATGACGATAATAGCATTGGAAATAAATGGTACCCAACAAAATTTACTAAATTTAAGGCCTTTCTTTTAGATTTTGGTATGGTCATCATAAAAACTTTTGTGAAATTCTTTCACCTCTAGAACTATAATTATAGTATACGGGGGATAAGGGTATTCAAGTCATTCAACTTAGAAGTGTTCTATGGGGTCAAGTCCGGTCAACACACCATATTTTCATATTAGTTTCATCCCAAAAATAATGTTTCACTTTTTTATTTCGATGTCCCAAAATAAATTTGAAAAATCTAATTCTCATAAAAGAAGTATTTCAATAGTATATTTCACAATTAAAAATTGAGAACAAAATTTTATCTTATATCGATATGTATGTAAGTTAAATCTGAAAGTTATTTTGGGGTGGAAGAACTTATGGAGTGTTTGTGATTACTTCCAAGTTCCACCTATAGAGATTTTAGTGAAAGTATTTGCTAGTAAAAGTTGAGAGTGTTTTAGAAAAAAGTGATTATGTGTGAAAAGGTTAGAGTGATAGTTTTTTATAAAAAGTGATTTTAAATGTATAATTTTGTTGAAGTACAAATATACCTTTGTACTTATTCAACTAAATAACAAAATACTCCGTTTATTTCTTTACACCGTACCCACCCAACAATATTCAAACCCATTACACCCAGCCATAATATTTCTTCCGTCTTCTTTCAAATTGAAGTTCTGATCTCAGGAAGACAACCTTGGACGACGGAATAAGCCAATCTCCTGATGTCGCCACCCATCTGTCTTGCGATTGGCACCCAACTCGACATGTGTGTATATATTTATATATATACACAAATATTCCGGTCAGGAATTTCCTGACCGGAGCCCCGTCCGGCCTCCTCCGTTTTGGGGCCTTCCCGGTGGTATTTTTTGCTCAGATTATTTGTGTTTGTTCCTCATCAAGTCTAGTTCATCTATACCACATTTCAGCAAAAAAATTCAATCGGGAAGGTCGTCAAATGATTTTTGCAAGTTAACTGGTTCGAAATATGTATTTTTGCAAGTTAACGAAGTCAGCGTTGAAAGTAGTATACAAAGAAGTTTATACTAATTTATAGTTCCCTTCCTTTACATACATGCATACTCATTGCTACGTATATCGTATCATGATTTGTATTGATCATTATTTTTTAATTTGATACTCATATTAAATATGAATACTTATTTTATTTTATGCTTTAATTTGATTATTTTGTTTTAGTTTTTACTTTTATGTTTTGAGTTAGGTTAATTGACTATGAAATTCTTTGAGTTTATGTATGACTGATCCGAACATCTTCACTCCCGTGCACAGCACGGGTGGAATTACTAGTTACGTAAATGGTAACATTCGTGAGTTTGAAAAATATGACTAAAGGCGCTACATACTAAAATATGATTAAACATATTACGTAAAATAAGCTAACAAGAAATACGGAGGGTTAGTGACAAAAATTTTATGGAACCCTATATGACTCCACTATGGAGTCATATAGCACATGTGGCATTATCAATATCATTCATTTCTATAGTGGATTTATAGTGGAGGACCCTACTTCATGAATGAATGATTGTGATGGTGCCACATGTGCTATATGACTCCATAGTGGAGTCATATAGGGCTCCATAAAATTTCCCGGGTTAGTGAAGCAAAAATAGAAACATTAGCGACAACAAAAGTAATCAAAGAGAGGGAGCATATACTCTGATAATCGTACTGTCGTACGTATATTGTTCAATTAAACTACCGTACAGAATGCAAACAGACTCCCAGCAGCTATATATATATATATATATATATATATATATATATATACATATATATATATATATATATATATATATATATACACACACACACACACACACACAGAAAAGATCCGGCCAAGGCCATCAGAGGCCCTTCCCAGTGGAATATTTTGATGAAATTTTTTGAGCATGTTCCTCATCAAGTCTAGTTTATCCATACCAAATTTCAGTTACAAATTCAACCGGGAGGGCAATTCCACCGGGAAGAGCCCAAATGGCGACGGCCGGACGGCGGGTCCTGTCCCTCCGGCTGGACAGGATCAGGCCTCTATACACACATACACACACACACACACACACACCAATATTCAGGTCCGGACAGGCCGGACCACTCCCCCCGTTCGGCCTCCTCCATTTGGGGGCTTTCACGGTGGTATTTTTTACCCAATTTCTTTGTGTATGTTCCTCATCAAGTCTAGTTCATTCATACCAAATTTGAACAAAAACTTCAATCGGGAAGGTCGTCAAATGATTTTTACAAGTTAATTGGTCCGGAATATGTATTTTCCGGACCCGTTAACTTGCAAAAATCATTTGACGACCTTCCCGATTGAATTTTTTGCTCAAATTTGGTATGGATGAACTAGACTTGATGAGGAACATACACAAAAAATCTGAGCAAAAAATACCACCGGGAAGGCCCTCAAATGGAGGAGGCCGGACGGGGCTCCTGTCCGGAATTTGCGGACAGAAATAGCTCTCTCTCTCTCTCTCTCTCTCTCTCTCTCTCTCTCTCTCTCTATATATATATATATATATATATATATATATATATATATAGGAAATCTTTCCGGTAAGGTATACCTTACCGGAGCCGCCGTGCGGCCTCCCTGTTTTGAGGGCCTTCCCGGTGTAATTGTTCGATGAAATTTTTTGAACATGTTCTTCGTCAAGTCTAGTACATCCATACCAAATTTCAGCAAAAAATTCAATCGGGAAGGCAGCCAAACAATTTTTGGAAGATAACTGCGTTTTATATGTATATAAAAGGTGCAGTTATCTTCCAAAAATCATTTGACTGCCTTCCCGATTGAATTTTTTGCTGAAATTTGGTATGGATGTACTAGACTTGATGAAGAACATGCTCAAAAAATTTCATCGAAAAATTCCACCGGGAAGGCCCTCCAAACATGGAGGCCGCACGGAGGCTCCGGTAGGGTATACCTTACCGGAAGAGCTCCCTATATATATATATATATATATATATATATATATATATATATATATATATATATATATATATTAGTTTTGAGCTTTTAGCTTTAAACTACTTTTTAAGTAGAAGTTGGTAGTTACAAACACCTTTTTTTTTACTCTTTTTAAGTTAAAAACTAAGTACTTTTTTTAGGGGAAATAGACCTAAATAGGATTAAAAGTCTGGCTGGGAACGTAAATAGGACTGAGAAGTTTTAAACTCCTAAATAAGACTTATTTTGAACGGCCGGACAAAAACACCCCTCCCTTTCCAACATATTCTGCTTTGAACATAGGACACCATCCATCCGCTCTGCAAATCTGATGACGACTGTATTTAACAAACGATTTCAAAGGAGCAGTTGCCGGCGGCGGGTTCTGCGGTCTGCCGCTGGTTCCGCCGGTGCGAGTCATCACCGCAGCAGTCTCCGGAGACAGGCCGGCGGGTAGTATCCTCCTCCAATCCTCCTTCCACTGGCCCTTCTCCTCCTCCGATCCTCCTTTTCTGGCTCTTCTTCTCCTCCTCCTCCTTTCTCCCTAATTGTTTGCGAGTTTCTTGTGTGCGGTATGCTATACATCTCCCTGCTCTTTGGTGAGCTCATCTCACTAGGCTTAGTGCTAGTAGCACTGTAGCAGTCATAAGGGATTGGCCGTATCAAAGAGATTCTCCAAAACAGTTACTAAGGGATTGGGCGCACTATAGCACTCTTGTTATTTTACGTTTCAATTTTTATTTTTATTTTATTTTGCAAATTCATTTAGTGTAAGTAATATTCTGGATCCATTCATTAATTTAGAAAATCATATCATTGTGACAATGAAATAATAAATGTTGTGACATTGTTTATTATACATAACTAGTGTCATGGAGTTACAATGATATATCTTGACACAATGACAACATCCGTGAAAATGTCATAAAAATGCAATGTCAATGTATAAAAATGTCACCAGGTTAAAAAAAATATCACAATGGCAATGTCATTGTCGTTGCTATAAAAAATGACAATGTCAATAGCTATTATGACAATTTTAATTTTATAAAAAAAAGTCAAAACGTTGAAAAAATGTTGTAATGTCACGATGACAATGTCATAAAAATGTCAATGACAATGTCATAAGAATGTCAATGACAATGTCATAAGAATGTCAATGACAATGTCATAAGAATGTCAATGGCAATATCATAAGAATGTCAATAACAAAGATATAAAAAATGATATTGCAACAAAGATATAAATATAATGTCATTGTTAATATTATGACAATGTGAAATAATAACAATGTCATTGGAATGAGACAACTTTGAAAAGAATGTCAATATTACAAAACTTTCAAAATGTTAAAATCATTTATCAACATTGTCATTACGAATTGTGTGACAATGTTGATATCATTGTAAATTTATGTGACAATACACATCAAAGTGTTACATTAACAATGACATTTGAATAAAACATTATCTAAAAATAATTAATAGAAAACTAATAATAAAAAATTAATATAAAAAAGTTAGAACTTGAAAACAAAATTAGATAAACAAAGAGAATACCATTCAAAAAACAAATAGATTAAGAAACTGGAAGGTCTGAATTCGAAACCAAAAAAATTAGGAGAACAAAAAAAAACATGTCCACATATGAACTTAACGTACCGCAAAGCAGCGGAAAAATTTCCCCACCCCAGATCTACCCAAGCAGCGGAAGAAGAGAAGTAGAAGATGCAGAAGAAGAAGAAGAAGAAGAGCAGAGGAAGAAGAAGAAGAGAAAGAAGAAAGAAGAAGATGAGAGGATAGAACGCACTAGGGCCTCCCGCTGCAGCTGCCGCGGTGCCGCGTCTTCCTTGTTGAGCCGCCGCCACGCTGCCGTGTCGCCGTATTTTCACTGCAACGCCACTACAGCTCAACACATCGGTTATTTTGTACGGTGCTAGGCCTTGAAGCTGCTCTGCTTAGCTATGGATGAAGGAGAGAGGGCTCAGGGAGCTTGTCGAGGAGCGATAAGGTTTGCGTGAGAGAAAAAGGTAAAGTTAGAAAACAGGGGCAATTTTGGTAATCAGGAAAAATTTGGTCCTATTTACGAGTTAAAAACTTAGAGGTCCTATACGCGTACATATACTTATTTTTGGTCCTATATGGAACCATTTCTCTTTTTTTAGTCCATGCAAACACTCCTTATACTCGTATTAGGTGTAGACTCATCGTTCGTAAACATTTATACATGTGTGCATGGATTCAATTTTAGTGCAAATAAATCTTTTACATGTCCATGAAAAAATTAGTTTACTAACCAAAACAATTCTATATTTTTTAATTAAGTTAATGCAATTTTAGTAAATTTAAAATACTTTAAATTAGTTTGCAATAATATATATTCACTATAAAGATTTTTATGGAGAAAGCAGATCTTTAGATCCACATGACCCACGTATGACTCTTCTAAACTCATACTGCATCGTCTCATTCAAGGGTTCTTTCTCATTGCAAAATGACACAATTATGTAGATAATAATTAAATATGCTAATACTAGTATAATTTGAGAAATATTTTGATGGATATATAACCTAATGAGTTATTGATGACTACTGTGATGTTATAAATGTATTATTTTTAATACTCAATAATTAAATTGTTGTTTGAAATTGTGAATTGTTTCCTAAATAGAAAATGGAAACCTCTAAATAGTTAATGGAAACATTTAAATGAGACGTCCAAAAAGAAAGTAGGAACTAGAACAGAGGGAATATAAGCTATCATAACATCACAATTCACAACTAATTCTCAAAGAGGTGTTTGATTTCATTTACAATTTAACAGATTTATTTATTTATTTATTTATTTGCTTTTTTTTTCATTTTTATACTTAGCTCAATACTTCAAATTTTGACATCTACAAATCGTACTGCCATAGCAAGTGTATCAGGGAATATCAAATTTAGATATACCAGTTGCTAACTTCATTGTCACAGCTTTCCACTGCAGCTCCAAACGCATGCTTTATAAAATAAAAAAGCATGCCTTATGACAAACAAAAGACAAATGAATTATATGGGAACTAAAAATTAGGCTAATAAAAGTTATATTTCCAAGGGTACTAAAAGTAAAAAATAACAATGGAACATATATCTGTTTAGACCTTTTGGGCCGGCGGGGGTATGTGACTATATCTGCAAATGGTATTCTTTTTAGTATTACTTCTCCTCACCGGAGATGAGGGTTTGGAGTGGCTAAGAAGAGTTGATGAAAGCCAATGACTGAGCCTGCAGATAATAAGAATCTTTGTATTTCCTCCCGCTCCCAATGTGAATTCCGTTGCTCATCCAGTCCTCTCTATGAATCCACCCGTCTCGGGTGAAATCTAGTATCCCCAAAATCTACATCATTACCAATACCCATCCAAACATTATCAACCAAACATATACAGAATATTGAACTAACCTGAATGACCAAGTGAGAACATATTTTGTGACAGATGTACGAGTATATGTATAAACATATACAAAATTAAGTTAAACAATTAAGTTAAACATGTACGAGTATATTTTTAAAATTAATGCCTGGTCTAGAACCCCCGCTCAATCTTAGACAATTTGTTACGTTGCCTACATTTAGATCTAATTCTACTTTATGGCCCTCACCCTATGTAGCTTGGATGCAATTTAATCGGTTAATCCCCAGTGTACTTGACTAACAATAGCCCTCTTTAGCAGATCAAAATATCAACTACATAGAGTCTAAAATTGAGGACCAAAGTCAGAGTCAAATGCATAAATCAGAGTCGGTATGGATAGGTGTTCATTTTGATCTTTTTGTTTTTGTTTGGGATTTTTTTCGGACAGGGGTATGCCCCGTAGACTGTGTATTCTTTTTGGATGAGTTAAACATGTACATTTTACCCGTAAAATTGAAGACCAAAGTCAGAATCAAATGCATAAATGGTACCTTAATTACTGGTAATGTTGCACGTTGGTATCTTAACTATTAAATGAATTAAAACGGTACCTTAACTATACATATATGTTTCGAATTAAGATTATATTCAAATTTCCAACCAAAAAATCCTTCATGACTATCAATATTTCATTTGTAGAGTCACCCTATAATAATCATACGGACAGAAATAAGGTGAAGTAAACTTTACGAATTATGGCCGCTACATGTGATTTTTAGGTCAGAAATTTGAATAGAATCTCAATTCGAAACATTTATGTATGGCTAAGGTATCGTTTTGATTCATTTAAGAGTTAAAGTACCAAAATGCAACATTTACCAATAGTTAAGGTACCATTTATGCATTTGACCCACCAAAGTCACTTGTAGAGATGGCAACGAGGCGGATCGGGGACGGTTTTACATATAATCGTACCCGCCCCGTTGAGTAACTCCCCGCCCCGTAACCGCCGCATTACCCAACAAGTAATTTTATCCAAACCATAACCACCCCATTGGGGAACGGGTATAACCACGCGTAATCACTTTATTAAATGGGTCATTGATATTTTAATATAAAAATAATATTTTGAAAGACAAAAAATGGCATCACCTAGATGACTCTAGACTCATACGTCACTTTAAAGATTCTTATATCTATAAGACGAGAAAGAAGAAAACCTAAATTAATTTGAACCAAAAAAATACTTGTTATATAAAATAACTAATCACGATTTTTTTTATAATAATCAAACAAGACTATGAAGATCTATTATGAACTTTCAATTCATTCATATACTATAGTTAATACATCTACTTCTCATATATACACAATGAAAATAGAAAAATCTCATCTTTTAGTAATTGTGGAACAAATAATAGATAAAAATGTAATTAAAATATAGCCAAAACTAAATGGGGCGGGTACGGGGCGGGTACGGGGCGGGTAATGGGGCGGGCATGTATAAAACCATAACCGCCCTGTTACCCGTAAAAACAAAACGGGTATTCCCCGCCCCGTACCCGTTACCCGGTCAATGCGGTTTTCTCCGTTTTGACCGGGGCAGTTCGGTGCGGGTATCCGTCAGATCGGTCACAATTGCTATCCCTAGTCACTTGTATAAAATCCAAGGACCAAATATGGGGTGAATGACCTTATACAACAAGATGCGCACTACTTACAACCTCCATATTATGAAACACAGGATAATGAAAATTTTCTGGAGTACAAACTTACTGCTCCGCCTTTCCATGTTACAAAAGCTGGGTGTGTTCTTGATGGCAATACCTGATAACAACAACAATAACAACATTACTTTTTTTGACTATCACACAGAGTACTAATAATAGTAATAATACACATGTAACTAATGTAGATGCACCCATGAAATGTGGATCCAGAAGTAACACGAATATAAGAACAAACCACTAACCTCTACCGTGTCAATTGCTTCATGGGACGGGATTGCGTGTAAAACTCTGCAATGAAGCAGAACATAGAATTACAGCAAAACTAAAGTGTTAGTAGGAGTTCTTGTGAAAAACGTGTGAAACGTATGCGTTGCTTAGTTTAAATTGGAGGCCAGAACTGAATTGTTTTTTGGAATTATGTAGACGTTTGGTAAAAAAATCTGCAAGCCAAGACTGTTACCGAACCATCTAAACGCAAACTAATTTCACTGCATTGATTTAACTGACAATATGAGTTACTAACGTTTCTACATTTGTTGTTTACATTATTTACAAGATTTTTAAAATATACTTAAGCTTTTTTATACATATTTCAGCACACTGGGTCATTTCAACCACAACTTCAGGATATGCATCCCATTTTAGATCTTACAAAGCGACCTCTAAATAAATATACGAATGGATTGATAAAATTCACTCAAATTTCATGATTGTTCACAACCCATGGTGTACGAGAGGCATGTAATATCAGGAACCCAAACGCTGTTACCACTCACCACACCCGAGGATAAGGGCATTATTTGGAATTAGAACGCAAACAAAAGAAGGGAATTTTAAACAGAGATTGAAACAAACCTTTCCTCAACCGCAGGAATAAGGCCATCAGTCAATGCAACCCCACCAATCTGAACCATAGAAAGATATATTATTTTTTACTGAAATGCAATCAGTATAGCTTTATAGATGAATGAAATTAAAGAGTACAAAAAAATTACCAGTTGCATACTACAAAACAACTTTCTCTGGAGTTCTATTCGCCCTGTGAAGCTCAAAAGAGGTTTAGGAATTAGTAGTGCGTTTTGAAATGGATGACTTATTTTTAAGGAATTAGTGTTTTTAGTGGTAGAAAGTACAGTACTACAAAAGGATGTCTTGGCAGGAAAACAGAAAAAATACTTGTGATTAATTTAATTGGTACTTTTTCATATTAAATGAGAATGCACTTATAATTGAAGAACTACTACCTAAAGTTGTCCTGAACAAGGACTTAAATTTCACCACAATCCAGATCTACCTGTTAAAAGAATGCTTTTTGTAATAGCTTCAGCAAGACCAATACTGTCTTCCCTCTTTGGTTTGATATGAAACACAGGATAGCTCTCCCACATGGGAAATGCACCGGTGCCTGGAAAATCCATATGACAAGCATCTTCAAGCATATCATCATAGTCATTAAACCTATTTCGAAAAATAAGAATCTGGTGCTCAAAACGGAGAATATAATAGGCATTCAAAAAAATCCTGTTGTTTTAAATTTAAGGAAAATAGGAGGAATTCTTACCAAGAGCGTGGTGGGGGAGGATATACATCCGGAACTAAAAGTGTTGGATAAAATAAACCCATCGGGGGTACCTATTTAGAAAAAAGAAATCATTCGCAGAAGTGCTTATCATAAACTCAAGAGGGAAAACTGTCAAATAGCTCTTCTTTCTACTAAATTACGATTCACTCCCAGAACTAAAGAACAGTTAGCCCTTCACACATTAAAAAATTGTGCAAATTTAGTCTTTCCAGGTTGACAACCTGTTAAATGCTAACGTGTCACGCAACTTTCATTATTAGGCGATATGGGTAGAATCTCAAATACTATAAACAGGAAGAACTTGAATAGAGGTTCATTCATACACATGTATAATGAAGCAAAGGAATACAAAAGTACGGATCAAACTTCCAAGCCTTTCAAAAAATAATTTCAGAGACTCCATTTTTGTTCTGGTTCTGGGGACCCACCTCCCTTTTCAAACATTTTTCAAGTAAAAGAAATCTTAAATAAACACTGAACTACTGTACTACTGTAGAAATATTTGTCTAATCAATGGAATTAACTTCAGAATTTCGCTCAGATTGAATTCCTTTTTCTAAAAAATAATTAC